ATCTATGACTCACACATCTGTGCTATACATATACACGCAAGGGCCACCTCCGATGCACAAGACTGCAACTTCGTCCAATTCTCGAATAAACGATGGCCTGTTCCTACACTGTTGGGGATTTAGTGGTATATGGCGCTACAACACGTCCAATAAGGAAAGAGCGACGGGCAAGAGTATATAAATAGTGGGCATGATGACAAAATATTAAGGAAAAAGTGGACATTGACAGCTGCCTGAAGAATACAGTCCCCACACGCTCATATGCCTTGATGGCGAGTAAGCAATCGTGTGTCGTGCTGAGCTTGTAGTGAGTCGTGTTGATTCACGTCCAATAACCCGGTCGTCGCAGGCTCACGCACACGTCCTCCTTATTTTCTTGGAAGCAAAATAGTACTGGAGAGTAAATTAGCTCGTGGTGATCAGACATAAAAGTGTTTGAGACATTCCATCCCAAATGACTGCACGTTTGTTGGACCAAATTATGGAGCTGGTGATGACGATAAATGTCGAAATCATCAATTATGTACACTGCCTTATACTTGGCAACTGATGCTCACGTTAAGAGACAAGTTTTCTGATGTTTACTAAATGTTCTAGACAAATTCGACATTTAAGATCTGTTTGGCAGCTTATCGGCAGCGATGAGACAACAGACAGTCAAAAAATTTGCTAAATAAAAGAAAATCGCAGGTGCTCCGGGAGATAGGAGGATTCTGATTAACTGATGAAGCCACAAATGACACAGAAACCATCCACCCACATGTACCAAGCTGTGTATGCAGTGAACACAAACGACTTCAATTAGCTACAACAGGCTCGCTCACTACTATTCACGTATGTTTTGACCACATTTAATTCTTGGCACTTTAACTTGTAGAAAGTATGCTCAGAGCTATCAGTCTCCTGACTCTTGCGGGAAATATGTTTCCCTTTATTGTTCCGTGGCCAGTGGAACGGGCTCAAATTATCACCAAATTAACAAGAATCCGTGAGAACGTCCAACCGCCTGCAAGCAACATGAATATGCTCGTGAGTGTTTCAAAGCGAGTTACCCGACTTGCTTCTTTTGTCGAAACATTCCAAGTTTTTCTAATTACTAAAGAATTGTTTACTCAAAACTACGAGCTAATGCATTTATTGATTTATTTATACTCAACTGGAGCTTCAACTACCTTAGATCTCACTGATTTTACCTGGCAGCTTACATCACTTAGAGCTGTTGTTAACTCCCAATCAATGACAACATTCTATGCAGTTAAATTAATAACCAAAATTGACCCTGCATTCGTTTGAATTGTCAGATGTTTATACTTTTTAGAGCTACTCTGAAGAAATGGAGCATTTGGCGGTTAAGTGGACGTCGAAATGCTTATTTGAGTGCCCAAGTATTTACTCAGCTTTCGACGGCACTGGCATGCTTCTAAAAAGAACTGCTAAATCGAAGCCACGATTCCAGGGTGTGGGGTGGACTGCCAAATATGCAAGCAATTATAACTATGACTCCAACATTTGCAAAAGTAACTGCGAACATTGCAAGGTGGTAAGTATTAACCTTTATACACGAATCCATTTAAAATTAATAATCATAATTGACAGAGTTCCCTAAGTCTGGGGTAAACACCATGTGATTTGAGCGTACATGATTTTTCGTCAAGATAAATCATGACTACAATAGTAAGTAAAGTTTCAATTTTTGACAAAAAATAAAGTCATCAAACTTACAAAATTGACTTAAGTGTCAAATAATTCGGCGCTAAGTTGACCATAAACAACTCGAACTCAAACCGACAAGACATATCTGAATTTGGCATCTGAATGAAAGGCGCCACTGCACGCATATATTTATTTTATCCTTTTCGTTTGGTTGACATTTAAATGCAAGATGATAATTCAATGTCACCTACACGGTCACTGTATTCTCCGACACACCCACTGCCTCCTCAACCCGCCAAACCCACCATCCTCAAATCACACGTGCGTTTTATTCATCTGGCTGCCCAGTCATTGGCACTTTCGCAAGTTTACCCAAATTGCACAGGTGGAAAACTGCATTCATAATCATCTACAACTTGAAATACTCAAACGCAGTCCAAATCCAACCTGATTGGGTCATCTATTAAACGATTTCCTCCAAATTTATCCATATCAAACGTTGGAGTGTTTAAACTGAAAACAGTTCAACCACGGTAGATTACCTTAGGCAAATCGAGCGTTGTTTAATCATTGACGTGAATAAATGCCAATTAATTTGTAATCTCTATTTTCTGTCTCGAAAACACTAAATCTATAAACAAGAGAGGAAGGAAAGCAGAAGCAGTGAAATTAGGCCGAGAGACAAGGTGAGACTAAACTGATACAATCAGCTAAGAACTACTTTGACTAAATGGAGGCTTGCAGCTACTGCTGCTCCACTTTGGCGTGAACGTGCTCGGAATCATCGCAGCGATACGGTGGGCTCTCGGCGTTGGCAGTGACTAACGGATGAATCTTTTGCTGCTTCCGCGAGGCGCCTCTGACTTCTTTGAATCTTCTCATTCCACAAAATGATGCAAATGGCAATGAGAAGTAGCACTCGACAACAAACCAATGCCGCCATGGATATGAAGAATCCACGGAAGGAGACCATGTCGATTACCGTTCCCGATAAGAAAAGAGCTAGAAGTATGCCTATTCCAGCGATTGATTCAGTCATGGGAAGGGTAACTGAACCATGAAGTACCCGGACTCATACCAGTCTCGTAAGGCCCCTCCCTTCCTCCTTAGCATTTTCCTCGACTTCCGTTTACCACAGTGCCCGCTGCTAATAAAGAACACATTTTTTTATTCAATGCGTCTGATGCAGCTGCAGCCATCTGTCATGCTGGCATCCATCGACCGATCGATTTCTCGGCTTCTTGCACGTGTGCGTGTGTGCGTGAGTGCACGCGTTCGCACGCAATTCTCAACAAACCGCCTGCTCGTCGTATCGATCGCCTCGCCAATGCGCTGCGCCATGTGTCAGCCACGTGGCGATTTGTGCTCAAGTTATTTGTGGCCTGCGTGTCAAATCTGCTTTTGTCCTTAAAACTCTAACGCAATTTTGTCTTCACGCCAAAGTTGTTTTTTAACCCCCGCAGTGGAGAGAGAGAGACAGCAATTTACATCCCATGCCTACTTACAGTAGAATGCTCTTCAACTGGATTCTCCTTCGTAGTTCCTATTTAAATATTTTTACCGATGTAAATTCTACTTGGATGAGAATTTAACTAGTTACGACAATGCATACTTAATCGCACTCTACATATGCTGCACTCCAGGCTTACAATGCTAATTTTCAGTCCTTTTACAGAGTTTTATATGCGTAAAGTTTCAACAGCCAATATTTGATTTTGGTTCGTGAATTCAGTAACCCAACCAGGCCTTAACTTCGTCTGTCTTCTCTGTTTTTACTCGGTGATTCTTTTGTCATCCCTGATTTGATGGGCCCAAGCCAATATTTTACAGAATGAAGATGCATTTTTGTTTAAATTGTCTTGGCCCGTAATCCACAGGTAACAATGTTGTGTGTCGTTTTGAAGCATAAAAAGCACCCTTAATGTTTTGTTTACTTCTAAAACGTTGATTTATCTTACCACGATCTACTGACTTGCATTAAGTCCTAATGAGTTGTCTTATCTTTAATGAGATAATATCTGTCAAAGTCACAACCATAACAATTAAAATTTTCCATTTTTTTCTGCAAATTGGTCACATAAACCAATAAGGAAAACGCGTTTTGGCTGCAAAATGGTGAAATCGGAAGAATGTACACAGACACATATTAGCGGCATCAAATCCTGCGTTAGCGTTTATTTGAGTAGACGGGCGTCTTAAGTGTTTGTGTTGCTACGCTGATTGGCTTATTTGGATTGGCCTCTGAGCTGTCTAGGATTTGATTGGCCGGGTCGGCGTGAGAAGTGTTTAGTTTGGTAAAAGTGCTGCCAATTTATTGTTCCTTCGATGCAATTTGATTAAATGTTAACTATAATCCATAGGCTATCGCCTGGCTGCCTAGATGTTGAACAAGATACACAGCAATGTCGTCCACCGACCAAACTAAGCACCGGGGAGTCACTATGGTTCTAGTAACTCCTCTGCATACCCCTGCATCAAATATCAGACTTCAAAGGTCACATTACTGAAATCAAAACAGGCATTGCAATCTATCTGTGAAATACAAAAGTCCTTTTTGTGAGCCTGCTGGTTGGCTGCCTTCGAACCAATCAGATCACTGAGAAAAAGTGTGTATTTAAATAGCTGTTTGCCAAAATTTACCTGTGTAAAAGTACATCGGAGTAATGAGAAGTAAGCGTGGCGAGATCAGAAAAGCCGATTTGAGCTAGTGAAAGACTTATTTAAGTGGGAATAAAGGAGCTAACTGTGGTACCTCTGACGTTTAATTTCACGCAAGTTATTTGCTGCGCAACCGCAAACAATATTTTCTTTCATTGCCTGAATAGATTTCGATGAATAGTCCGTGCTATTGGAAATTCGCAAAGATTATTAATTTTCACAGAATCGACAACTTAGTATGTGTGCGTGTGCTAGCCAATCATCGTAGGCGGACTCTGGAAAGTGATTGGCTACAGTCGCATCTGTGAAAACATTTTAGCGTAGAATGATAATATTGATAAACCCTGATAGCACTTTTGTTTACCCCCTCATTTTGAGCTGCTGCTGTTTTGAATTTCAGTCTGACAAGCAGAGAGGTGTTTTTAGGTGTTTTGTCATAAATTACTTATCATCTTGATGAATTTGGCTCACGCTAGCTACGCACGTCTGACCCAAATCTTCATTGATCAGGTTCATGCGCTGCTCCTGTGATCCCGCTGCCTTGTGCCTGCCTCAGAGACGGCGTCTGACTTCACATGCTTTTGGGTGAAATCAATCAAGGCATTCGCTTCCTAAAGCTAATGCGCCCTTCCATGTCTGCCAAATTGGAAGAAACGCAGAATGTGTTAGGTGAAGCAGATGATAGTTAGATGTCTGCTTCCCGGAGATCGGTTGCGCCGCTGGAATTGACTCCTTTTCCAAGGAAGCACCACACCTGGACGTCCCATCATCATCATCAGTGTGCGTCCGAAGGCATCAACAGCAGTTCATTGGAGGCGCAGAGCTACTCGCTTCGGATCTTGGCGGACGTCCACACCACCACCGACGGCCTCCTGACAGCACTGCCGTCGACAAGCGCTTCTAGTCCTGGAACGAGTTGCTTTGATAACGCTTCCTTCCAACGCGCCCCCTCCCTCCACCTCTCAATCTTCATTCCCAGTAAAGCCGAATGCGTCTGAGCTGAAACAGGCCTTGAAGGGCAAGCTGTGACACCTTTTCATCAGGACTGGTGGGTTTGCCATATTAAAACCACGAAACACTTTACGCTACTTACAAAGCCAAGGACACAATATGGAGTTTTTGGGCAAATCAGTTATTTGCACTGCAGTGTTTTGTGCATACCATCCTCTGCAACATCCAAACCAGCAAAAGACAGGTGAAAACGCGTGTGATCTCTCTCAAATCCACGACAGAGCAGCAATCACACACACTGTTTACATTCCTTGCAAAATCGTGGGTCCATTTATGCGCCTGGTGTGCCTTCTCTTCTCCCTGCATAGTTCTGAGTTCGACGCGCGAGAAAGAGACAGATTCCTGGTTTCCCCTCTCGACAAGAACAAGTCAGATTATCCAATGACAATGCAGACACGAACCCGATGTATTTTCTGTTGGAATGGCCACAGATACCCAAGCACCCACAGAGAGAGAGAGAGAGAAAGACATACGCACGCGAGGCTTGCCCTTACTTGAATGCTCAAACACCTTTGGACAGACCGTGACTGAGTACTGCTGGAGAAGCCTATTTGCCTCATTTTTATCAAGGATATCGTCACATCCTCGACAATAAATGCAATAAACAACTATCAGGCCAATGCTCGATTGTGATCACAATGCCAGTCTGCTGATATTCACAAGTAGACTGTGTTCTGTGCATTAGGAAGCAATTTCCAAAGTAGTCACGACGAGTAATCTACAGACGGTAACTTCGATCGATCCATGCAACCCAACTTAATGATCAGCACGTTTTGCCTATTGCGTGAGTTAGCTGGAATCATTAGCAAACCCGAGTACTTTCGGCGGATTGCGTTGAACCTCCGCTAGCCGCCATCGCTGCACACCACGCCAACGAAACTTGGCAGTGTTTGAAACGTTCGTTTAAATGTGATGCACCACTACGACAGTGCATAGTCCCTACGCAGTTTGCCAGGTGGTCATGAGGCTTACACGCCTAAGCTCGCCCTCAGTCACCGACATTTAATGCCGAGATGTCGGTCACCAGGTGACAACGACGCGTTACACCAAAACACCTCACCCAACCACACCAAACCCAGCTACTACCAGCACGAACCAGCCATCCTTCTCACAAGCTGACGTGGCGATCTTCGAATTCACAAGACGCATTTGCAGAAGGTGTTTGTGGCGGGAATAGAGAGTTTATTCGTATAAATCAGAGATAGCAAGCCAAGACTGCAGAACTGACATTTTTAAACACACTCATACACACACCCACACGCATGGACGATAGAGATAGAAAGAGAGAGAGAGAGGGAGAGGAAGATAAGGTTCCACAACTCACAGCCTGTGTGCCACGGGTGCTGGCGGCGACATTCAGCAGACTCGCCAGCGGAGAGGCCAATTCCACGTTGCCGACAGATGAGGTCGCTACGGTGGCGGAGTCAGCTGCGTTAGCGGTAGCTACGGTGGCTCTTGTGCTTGACGCTGTAGTGGTGGCAGCGCCGGCGACGGAGATGTCGGATGCAGCGCCAGAACTACCAGATGGTGGAGCGATGGTCGTCAGGCCGGAGAAGAATACATCTGGCGCCTCCGTCTGTAGAGTGCGCAGACCCTTCTGAAAATGAGCAATTGCCTGTAAAGGTTCGAAGGCAATTACCAAATAGTAGAAGACGAGCACCAAACCCAATACACCTAAATTAGGCCATCGTTAGAAACTACAAACCAGAAAGCAGTCTGTTGAACGAGGTTAGGCGATAATGCAACACAAATTATTGTTGCATTGAAATACGACCTCAGCTTCTTCTTCTTGTAACTCACGAAACTCACTAGGAATATTGGTTGCTTACTTTTTTTACAGTTCCACTGTCCTTAATCGTAACCGATGTCAGCCATTTGGACACACTCTTACTGCCATCCAACCGACCAGAAATAAAGGCTCGTACACCGCGGTCATCAATTTAGCACATTAAAACAACAGCACGTCATTATTTGCAAATGTAAAAATTTGCTTTCCAAAAAAAAATATTTTCACGCATAATTTTACATTTTAAACGTGGAAAATTTACGCTTAGTCAAAAAGGGTTTTGTTAAAATATTAAAAAAAGTAAATGACAAGTAATTGCTTGAAATGAATCACGTCACAAGACCTTGCTGTGGTTATTTGAAAATAAAATGCCACATTTAACACTACACTTCTTAAAGCTAGAAAACTACTGCCTAATCATTGCTTAATCTTGACGAAATCGCCATTTCTCAAATGCCCATTAATTGAGACGTCTGTGAAACGTTGGCATTTTCACAGTGATCAGCTCACCGATACAATTTAAAACTCTGCTTTTGAATCTGATTTTAGCCTTTTGGTAGGAAGATATAACAACTTATCCTCTATTAATGGATAACGAAATTTCGTCTAGGCCATAATTTTTCTGCCTGAATTTTCGGATTTGACTCATTTTGTCCTTCTCAATGTAGCAGGAGCACAGCCTTAAATGCGAGTGTTTGAATTGCATAACATTTAAAGGTGCTTCATCCAACAGCCCTGCTTGTGTCATTGCTGGCGACGATTGATTGAATTGGTTTTGTTAACTTTACACTCAGAAGTGTTTAAGCTGATATTCGAAGCCATTTTCGGTAGGCAACATGAAAATTTTGTAGTAGTAGTAGTGTTGGGGATCCACGATTCCCCGAGATTAGTGTCTGATTTTTTTACATTAATTTGTTAACACTTGTTTTGTTACACTTGACTTGAATGACTTTCGGTTTCACTTCTTCTCTGCTCGTGGCTGACGTGAATAAATCTCTCTACTCGAGCTCTGGTCTTATTCCTGTATTAGTCTGGAAAGGTCGGTTCTAGTTTCCAGAAAGGGATCTGGTGCCGTTAATTGAGTGGTCTTCCCTTCTTTTACGGGCAAACGTAACAAGTAGAAATCATCACTAGTGCCAAAGTTGTCATTTTAAAGGCAATTGCCCAAATTTATGCAACTTTTTTGCTTGTATACGAACATGCAATTTTTCTCTAAGCAACTCAAATATAAGTATACGTATAAAATGAATGAATCAAGTATTTTGTATATTGTCTGACGACTTTCTTAAGTACCTTCAAGTAAATATTTCCGCCAGTTTGGGCTAGAACAAGATTACCTGTGTGCTACTGGTATATTGTTAAAATTACCTGAATACTTATGTGTTATTAAGTAGAACTAATTTCGCTTATTTTTTGAATACACGAGATCTATCAGTGAGGAAAGCGTTACTAAAGGAGTTTGAATTGGATGCTAGACCGCAAACAATGAACATCGCGTATCTACATGTGTCAACAGCACGACGCTGAAGGTTCAAAACGAGAAATCATCTCCTAATTTGGAAAGCAGACAACAATTTATCCAAATCGAACAGTCTCGTCGGAAGTAGAATACGAATACCAAAACACTACACCACCTCACCCAACCACCACCAAAACCCACCTACTACCAGCACGAAGCAGCCACGTTTTAAACAAGTTGACGTGGCGATCTTCCCATTCACAAGACGCAATCTCGGACGATGTCTGTGACGGCGATGAAGAGTTTATTTGGATAAATCAGAGATAAAAAAACCGACACTGCAGATGGGATTTTTTAAACACTCGTACACACACACACGCGCACAGACGAAAGGGGTATATGGGTGGAGTGACGACAAGGTGGGTAACTAGTAGTGGTAGTGAGTTAGTGGAAAACGAAACAGCAAGACCGTGTGTACAAGCTTTCGGACGATAGAGCTGCAGCCGCTGAAATGGGGATCGGTTGAAATCAAAAACGACGTCTGCAGGTAACATCAACTCCAACGACACATGCGCAAGCGCTGACCCTTGGTCAGTTTCCACCAACTCAGAAGTCGTTCGACTGCCGCGCTAACAACACACAAGGAGGACGTGTATCAGAAGAACGTCTGGGGAAGTGGAGTGGGAGAGGGGCGTGGGAGATACCTTGTAGATTGGCGTCTACGTTTGTGAAGTGCACACTAGCGAGAATGTGGAGCTGCGACGCGCACGTTTCCTCCGGCGGGGCATCAAGAGCGGATCTCAGCACAGACCGGCCTTCCTCCACCTCCTCCCCCTCCTCCCGCGTGTCCACAAGGTGACGTTTCCGGTTGTCGTGCTGCGACTGCAGGGCATCTTCTTGCCAAAGTGCTCCACCATCACACTTCGGCACATTCTTCTCTCTGGTAGCTACAAAGTAGAGGAAGACAAAGAAGGATATGGTGTTGAAGGTAGCTATGTTGGTGGCCGTGGGAGTGACTGCGATCGCAGTGGCCATGGAAGCAGTGATCGTGTTGGCGATGCTTCTGATGGAGGTGGTGATGGATGACGTCCAATGTTCAAAGGTTGAATTCAAAACCAACCACTGATTGCTGCTAATTTCTCTCAAATTCAAATGTCAAAAATATATATACTGGTCTGGTTTACATGTCGACTAAAGTGCAACACCACACCAACTCTTTTTCCTAAAAACACGATGCGATTACCAAGTTAGTCGATTTGGGTTTAAAATATAAATCCTAAATTAACTCTTATTTTCGATTATTTCAGCGTGGTAGAACCAAATTAACTTAAAATCGTTATATCAACTCTAAGTAAAGTGATAATCGATTAAGAAAACTGACAATAAAATAAATTAGATTGAAACCAATCAATCATTGGCGATGCGATGCTTACAGGCATTGAAAGAAGTAACCCAGTTTATCTATAAAATAGCAACGATTGAATTGCACAAATTACGTTATACCTTTTTGAATGACATTAATTATCGACCCATGCCGATGCAAATAATCAATTAATTACTGATTGTGTTCCGAGCGAATTGAAAATGCAGAGTTGGTTATTGATGACACCAATTTGTTGCTGGGGTGGGGGTAATCAGACAACATGAAATGAGTTGAAATGAAACCAGCTGTCAATCCAACATAAACAACATAAATGCATTTTAAATTAAAATAAATATCTACTAAATCTGGTGTAATTAATTAATTGATGCAATTCCGATCTTAAGTGAGACACAAAATGCAAAGTTGCACTGAAAAGTGATCGATATTACTGGGTTAATTAATAGTATGGTAGTATTTGCAAATGAATGAGTTGTAGTCGAGTGAATTAGTAATAATAACACTAATAACAATGTATTCGGAATTAAATCAAGCATCGACCCACCCTGCAATTAGTTGACTTATTTGGTGTCGATCGCAATTATGGTTAGGTTGAGGAATTGAATCTAAAATTGAACTATTGAGTATTGATCTCTGTCTGATTTAAATGTAGATATCGAGCTTAGTTAGGGACAAATCGTGAGTTGTTGATGCAAGCGAAACCACGTCACACTATTTCGGATTAACTATCAACATGACGCGACGCGACGCAAGGCAGTAGAGGAAATAATTACCGCTCGCGTGGCAGCTAAGTTTGAAATCAAAATTCAAAACGAGGTATCGATTGATGATCCACGTGTAATCAATTGAAATATTGGCCTTCGTCACTAATAAAGCCATAATCGAGTGAATCAAAAACCAGTACCACATCAAACTATTTCAAATTAAGGTTATTTCCGACTGAATCTGCTGCAACTAACTGATTAATTGAAATACAACATCTAAATGCAAATAAATTAGGTATTTATTTGTGGTACTGGTTACGTCAAAATCACCAAAATTCAGGGTTATTTGCAGAAACAAGAAAACAACGGGGATACTAAGACGAAATGAGGTGAAAGTAGAGCACCAGCAGCAGCAGCAACCATGGATTGAATTAGAACCACACCAATAGTAACCTACTTCGAATTAAAACCAACTATTGGCCCACCCGAACCGGGATTGAATGATAATGGTGATAATAACTATATATCCTGTTGTTTTTAGTTGAAAATACAAATGAAAATCATCTACTGCTCATTTGATCCGTGTTTAATTAAATGGTTTAAACAGGTATCACTGCCATCAACATCATCATTGTGGTATCATCATCATCATCACGATCACCACCATTATCATTATCATAACTATCGTCACTTTTATCATTTCCACGATTGTCACCATAATCACGGGTACCACAAATATCATCATCGTCACCATCATTACCACCCCGATCGTCATCATCATCATCGTTGCCACGAATATCACCAGCACCATCAAGACCATCAGCATCATCACTGTTATCATCATTACCATCAGTAATACCACTATCACCATCGTCATCTTCCCCTTTACCATCAACATCATCGTTATTATCATCATCACCATTATCACGAATATCACTATCATCATCATCACCACAATCACCATCACCACTATTATAGTTATCGTCATTATTATCGTGACCACTAGCCTCATTTTTATAATTGTCATCATCATTGCCATAACTATCACGATTACCACCGTCAGCGCTTTCGTCACCATCAGGGCCATCACCATCATTACTATCGTTATCAATTGTCACTAGCATCATCAACACCATCGTGAATATCACTATCGTCATCATCGTCATCATCACCACTACCATCATCACTACCGTTATCACTAACATCGTCGTCAGCATCATTTTCATGAGATTCATTATCATCATTACCACGACTAACACCATCGGCATCATCGCCATCATCAACATCATTGTCACCACCACCGTCCTCGTTATCCCGATTACTATCATCATCGTCATCATCACCAAAAATGTCAACGTCATTATTGTTATTATTGTCATCGATCGCGTGATGGTGAGTTTGAAATAGATATTCAACGTCAATCACTATTGATTACCGATCTCTGTCTGATGCAATTTCTATACCGAATTTAATCACATACAAATGAGTTATCGTTAGAAGTAACACCACACCACGCCACACCATATCACACTAGTCTTCACCAAACATTACATCACTACACTGCACTACACTACACCGCAATAAAAACCACACCACACTAAACCAAACCACACTGCACCACACTACGTCACACCACACCACATCCCACTAAACCACACCCCACTACGTCACACGTCACTTCACAACACCTCACTTCACTAAACAGCATCACTACACTGCACTACACCACATTAAACCACACCACACTAAACCAAACCACATCACACTACATCCCACCTCTCTACACTGCAACACACCACACTATCTCGGATAAATTGCTTCGCACTCCGTCGACAGAATTCTACGCAATTATGATAAATGATCCAACGTTTCTTAACTAAATTCAAAATATGAGTGCAAGATGTACTACCGATTATTATTGATGAACTCAAATTGTAGTACTGATTGAAAGTAAAGTAGCAATCAAAGCAAAAGTCTAGCAATAAATAGAAGTAAAATCAATCACTTATCGATCCAGTTCACCATTATCAGTGCTTAAAAATATTGGCAGTACCATCATCATCTTCACAGCGGCTATCACTATAATGACAACCACTATCATCGTTATCGTCGTCATTACTATCACGATTACTACTATCACCGCTGTCATCATCATCATCGTGGCAACTAGCCTCACTTTCATGATTGCCACCACCATCGCCATCATCATCACCATCACTACCGTTATCACTAACCCCGTTGCCAGCATCGTTTTCCCGATTTCCATTACCGTCCTTACCACCATTATCGTCACCATTATCATTATAATCACAATCATAATCACTATCATCATCACCACTCTCCCTATGATGAATACCATGATTCAAGTTAGCGTAATCATCATCACCCACATCTCAACATTATCACCAATGTCGTTATCACCAACACCGTTCCCATCGTCACCGTAATCACGATTACAGTCATCCCCGTCACCATCATCAGCTCTACCGTTATCATCGTTGGCGCCGTCATCACTATCCTTCCCTGAATATCATTACCATGATCACAATTGCCGTTATCATTAACATCATTATCGCAATCACTATCAGCATTATCACGTCTAAAACTACAGCATTATCGACGTCATCATTATTGTCATCACTATCGTATTCACCATCCTGATTACCACCATTGTCATCGTTATCGACACCAAAAATGAAACTATCATCATCATTATTGTTAGCAATCGTGCATTGGAGAGTCTAAACTAGAAATTCAACATCGTTCACTATTGAATAACGATCTTCCTAATCTATAATTTAATACCGGTTTTAATTACAGACAAACGAGTTATCGATCGAATTAAAACCACACCACACCAGAGCTCGCCACACCACAGTACACTGCACCACACTTCACTACGCCACACCACATTCACTACACCACGCCACGCTACACAAATCCACACCGCACTTCACTACACCACACCACAACAAACCTCACCACGCCACACTTCACCACACCCCACCACACCACACTTCACCACACCCAACCATACTTCACCACACCTCACTACATCACACCACACCACACTTCACAACACCACACCACACTCCGCTACATCACACCACACTTCCCAACACCACACCACACTTCACTACATCACAGCACACCACACTTCACAACAACACACCCCACTTCATCACACCACACTTCACTACTCAACACCACACCCCACCAAACTTCACCACACCACACCACACTCCACCACACCACACTTCACTACACCTCACTAAATCACACCACACTTCACAACACCACACCACACTCCGCTACACCACAATTCCCTACACCACATCATACCACATCACACTTCATCACAGCACAACGCACTTAACCACACTCCACCACACTTCACCACACCCCACCACATCACACTTCACCACACCCAACCATACTTCACTACACCACACCACACTTCACTACATCACACCACACCACACCACAATTCCCTACACTACACCACACCACACTTCAACACACCTCTTGCAAATTGAAACCCAAAACTAAGTGTCCATTTTTGACCTCTATGCAATTAAAACTGCAATATGGTTTCTAATTCGGGATAAATAAATAAATAAATAGGTAAGCGGGTTAACGATTAAATTTAAACTACACCAAAGTATTTGGAATAAATTAATATCAAAGATATAAAATACATAATGAACGATTGCTTTGCCATGGATCTGCATTTAACGAAGCATTGTTCAATTTAGCGTGGTTACAAACCAATCGGTAAGTGACTTATCTGCAACCATTTCGAAAAACGATAGAAATAATCCAATTATTATTACTATTATTAATAATATTATCTTTGTTTCTATCATCATCATCATCATCACAAAACATCACAATCACCACTATCATCATTATCACTACGACATCATCGTCACCATGGCAATCATCAGCATGATTTCGTGATTATTACCGTCATAATCAAAACCACCGCCATCATCATTACCGCCACCACCTTCGTTATTGTCATCATCCTCATCATCATCATCATCCTGAGTATTTAAAATTATCAGCAGCATCACCATCAATACAATGATTATCACCATAATGCTTACCATAATCACAGTTATCATTACCAACATTACCACGGAGATCATCATCATCATAACTAATACCGTTATCACTATCACTGTCGAAAGTATCACTTTGATGATTTTCACCACCATCATTGCCACGATTATCACAATTATCGTCAGCATCATGACCCTCACCAAGATCGAACAATTGATCATTGCACAATCGATAGTAATAATAATGATGATAATGGCAATAGTGACGATGGTGACGAAGCTGAAACTCAACGTCTTTCACTGCAGATTACTCGTCGGTCTCCGACGCAATACCGGTTTTAATAACAGACATATGAGTCATCGATCGAGGTAAAACCACACTTCATTGAACTCAACTCCACTGCACTGCACCACACTAAACCAAGCCACACTACACTGCAAAACTCTACAGACCACACTACACTCCACTACACTGTACTGCACCACAACACAACAAAACACAACACAACACCACACTAGATTAAATCACACCACACAACACTACACTCCACTCCACTCCACTACACTACATTACACCCCACCGCACCAAACCACACTACACGGGATAAATTGCATCGACAGTGTCCTATGCAACTAAACGATGATGAGTGATCCAACGTGTGTTTCTATCAAGTATTATTCATTTGTCAAAATAACACCAAATCAATTCATGGAATAACACCAAATAAAAGTAAAGTAACAATCAATGCAAAAGTCTACGAATAAATGAAAAATGAATAATTTATCGATCCAGATTATGCAGGAAATGCCGACGCGAAGTGAATAAATAATGAACCCAACGTAAGGTAATCAAGTAACTACGTTAAAATTCAAAATCAAGATCACGTGAATTATTGATCCCTGCATATCAACACCAAATCATCAACATTTTTTTTTAACTTGAACAGTTATCATTTGCAGTTAAAAAGGAAAACATTAAGGTCGAATTCACGTATTATTAATCAGCTCTAGAACGGCCTACATGCATTACAAAACGTATCAATTAAAATTGATTGAAACAAATTATCAATTTGAATCCAGGCTATCGACCCAATAGGAAAAAGTAGGGAAAGTAAAGAAATTGTCAGTTCAAAGTAGACCAAAGCATTGGGAAAATTTCTTTTCCGAGCGATATCCGAATAAATTTCTAATCAAAATACACCTCTAAACCCACTTTATCAGGTATCCATGATGGTGATAATCTTGATGGTGATGATGATCATGATGATGATGGTGGTCAGTCAAAGTGGATTTAAGTAAATAATCCACGAAAACCGTGCCAGCCTCAGTTACTTTCGGTCCAAGCTATCAACCCAATACGAAAACACTGAGAAACTAGACGAATTCTCAGTCCAATTTACACGAAGGCATTTCAAAACATTATTCGGATATCGATTGGAACAGAAATCCCCATCAATTTCTTCACAAAATACACCTAAAACCCATCTTATATCAAATATCTATGGCGATGATGACGATGATGATGATGAAGATGATGAGGACAATGACCGTGACAAGATAATATGAAACCAAATAAATTGCAATTAAAGAAATTACGGACAAAAAATACTGTAACTCAAATAAATCTCAACTAGACTATCAACCATTTACAGAGAATTGAAAAAAATTAAATAAATTCTAGGTCAAAATCAACTGAAAAGGCATTCTAGAAACGTGTGGGTATATCAATCGCAAAGAAAATTCTCATCGAAATTTCTAAAAAAATACATCTAAAGAGCCAGTTTCTATCAAATATTCGTGATGGTGGTAGTGTGGTGGCGGTGGGTGTGGTGGTGGTGGTGGTGGTGGTGGTGGTGGGGTG